AAAAAAGCATAATAAAAAAAAGGAAAGAAATAGGTACCTTGCACTTCTTCATTTAAAGCTTCAATCTCAGCATTTGCCGTCTCCGTTGCTGTCTTCAATTCATTCTGCCTCTTCTCAACATCCTTCAAAGCATTTTTTAAGTTAGCAACTGTTGATTCCAGCTTGGTGATACGTGAACCCACATCCCGTTTCTTTTCATACTCCAACCTAGCCACATGGAATGGAAGTTAACATAAGCTGACACAGATTCTTTACTGTACTGTATTCATTTATTTAAAATATGCAACCGTCATGGAATCAGACTCAATGCACCTCTTTGGTTAGGTTAAGTACGCAACAAAACATCAGAAATATTGGAATGCAAATAAAGCAACAGCACTAGAAACCACAGATGAGAAGGCATTAAATGTATCCGAGAACACTTACTGGTACTTTAGCTTCGATTGCTGGTTGTGCAAGTTGAATCTTTCTGCAGCTATTTGCTCAATAGCCTTGAGATGGTTTTCTTCATATTCACGAATGTTTTTAACGCCAACAGACTCACTGAATTTCTTGTAGATTCGATCAACTATATCATTGATCCTATTTTCAAGTGATTCAATTTTTGATGCCCTTGAGTTGATAACATTTTCCAACTGCAAAAAAAATAAATAAATAAAAAAAAAATGTTTGGGTATTTGATGAACAGGATAATAACGTTATTAAGTACCAAAAAGCACCTTTTGAAGCTCAGGCTTCACACGTGCAATTTCATCTTCAATACTGCGCTTCTCCACTTTCAATTTATTCAATTTATCTTCAATACTTTTCTGCAAAAAGAGTCATTAAGTAGCAGTATCATATACTGCAGCCACAAACTATTTAAGAGTGTGGCACAAACAGAAGGAAACAAAGATAACCAGACAAAAGAAAACAGCATGAGAAGACATTGTATGATTGTATTACATTTCCAACAGACATCTTGTGCAATTCAACAACCACTTCAGAAAAACAAGGGTATCAGTATTCATTACATTGGTTGGAAACCAATCGCATAACAAAAATGAAGACTACTTGAGCACGTCCATTAAAAACCCAGATAGAATCACAAGCTGCTAGACACGTATGAAAGGAGCAGAATCTGTCTATCCGTACATCTTTGAATGTATAAGAACAACCGTCAACCAAGCACCTTAAGCTGAAGACCTTTTTAGTTTTTATTGTCACTTGACCTCTGGGTATCAAATTGTTACATGTTTTTGACATTTGAATCATTGTACAAATTTCCAATAGGTAATAACCGTTGACCACAAAAAGTTGTTGAATCAAGGGAACATACTACTCTAGGATTAGGTATAATCAGAATTTCTTAACTGCCATATGCAAATTAAATAAACAAAATAACCTTATCTTTTGGAGCGACAATTGAAGCAAATCAAGCTTTATGAGGTCAAGTCAGAAATATTATTTTGTTCAGCACGCAGCCTACTAATCAACAGGAAAAACTGCTACACTAGGGGTGAAGGACTTATATATATAACACGAAAGTAATAATTTGTTACCATTTCCAGTATTATTAAAAAAAAATAAAAAAAATAAAAATAAAAAATTAAACGAAATGGAAAGAGAAGACCTTCTCAATCTCAGTATATTGAATCTTCTTTTCAAGGCCGCTAATTTTTCCAGATGCTTCAGACTCTTTAAGCTGCATTTCTCTAATTGATCCAAGCTTTTCCAATTCTGATTCCAGATCTTCTTTTTTCTTCTTAAGCCCTGCACAATGCAATCTTTTAGCACTGGAACAATCGAAAGAAAAGGATACAAAAGCAAAAAAACAATTACCACCAACCTTCAATTTTCTTGTCATCCCATTTATGTGAACGTGCTTCCATTCCGCCACTTGTGCCACCAGTCATTGTACCAGATTTGGTTAATAAGATGCCATCAGTAGTCACAACTGACACCAGACAAAACAACAAAAAACCGTATCAGCCAACTTAGCGTCTAAAGAGATAAATCAACTGCTGTACCTTTTAGTCTCTCCCCAGTCCAGCTCAGATGCTTAGCTTCATTGAGATCATCACAAACCAAGGTGTTTCCAACAGCAAACAGAATGGCTTTTTCCAGTTTGGGATCAAACCTTTTGACTGTCAAGGAGAAAGTTGATAATAACATTGCAGAAAAACACTATTTCGAATCACAAACAATGATTAAGGATACTGTATCACATCAAAAACCAGCTTTGCAGTTCCGCCCAAGGTGCGCAACCTCTCTATGACTGGCCTCACACGCACTGATAAAAGAGGTATAAATGTCTGCGGGGGAAGCCTTTGTTCTTTCAAATACTGCGGACAAGAACACGTACAAGTCACAAACTGTTATCCTATTAAACATTACATTAGGGGGAATTTTTTAAAGAAACAAAAAGGAAAAGAAAAGATAAATATTTAGGAAAGGAACACATTATTGGTAACTGATATGCAAGTAAAGAATATGCAACATCAGTAAACTTCATGAACACTTTCAGGGGCAGGACAAAGATGAATGCCGATAAATTAATTGGATGATTCCGCAGAGGACTCGATGTATTCAATGTATGATCTACAGTGACTAATGATGAAACTAGACGTCCAAATAAACGTATGTGCATCTGCTAGAGGGCACAAATGCAAAAGAGAAGGATGCAGAAGACACTAGAAGCCCTTCAATTTAGACAGAATGAACAAAAAATGTTTGATATATAGATATGCTACAAGACATAATGCAATGTAAATTGACCACATTCCCGATAAAAGTTAAAGCTTGTACGAGACCTGGCACTGCACCCAACACAAATATAGACCTGACTTGAAGAAATCAAGTACTGTACCAATTTAGTGCCCAGTTAAAGCCATTTGAAACGAGAAACCACTAAAAAAATCACAGTTTTTCTACCAATATACACTAGATAACTACAAACTAAAAGAGCATCTGATGACTCTTTAGTTTTCATGAGATGAATGCATCCCCATCACTTATTTCTGATTTTAGAAATGAGAAAGTGCTTATAAATAATTCCAAGCTTTGGAATAAGTGAGGCAACTGGAATAGTCTCAAAACATTGAGATGAATTTACCTTAATGCATTCCTTTCCCGTATTTTCATCCTCAACTACAACTGCATCCATGAATTTACCCATAGCAACAGTGACAGCAAGGTTGTACTTCTTTTGTGTCGGTCTGCAGAGATCAGTCATGCGCCCATGAACACCAGGAAATAGATGTTTGAGAGTTTCAACTGCCTTAGACAACTTGGCATCCCTCTCATTTTCATGCCTATCAGCCTTTAATTCCCGCAGCTGATCATCTAAATCACTAATTTTTGCCTTCAACATATCGTGTTTGCGCCTGAAACACATTTACCTCCAAGTAAGCAAAAGTATTCAATATGCCATTGTTCTTAAAGCAACTGACAAGTAAGAGAATCAGACAGGACCCAACCTAGATTCAACGAGCTTATCCTTCATTTCACGTTGTTCCTTCCTCACTCTGGCGAGTTCCTCCTTATGTTTTCCGACCACATCTAGGTTCTTCTTCAGTCTATTTTGCATCTGTTTCTCCTGCAACTCCAACTCCTGCTTCCGATTTTGCAACTGCTGAACATTTTCTTCCAAATTCTTCTGCGCTTCAATATCAGCATTCTGCTGCCTGTCTAAAACCTCCTTCTCATCCTTCAATTTTGCAGTTTTCGTCCCAGCTTCCTCTTTACTGCAAAGAAAATTGTTATTCAATATTTAAGTAGTTCTGGAAATCCTCAGACTAGATGAAGTAATGAGTAATTTTAGTAAAAGATAGCTACAGAGACTCACATCTGGTGATATGTTTCTAGTTCACTATCAACCAACTGAAGCTTTCCACCAGCATCCTGGCTTTTTTCACGCAACTCTTCAAGTTGGTTAGTCACATCGCTCAAGTCATTCTCAAGTCGTTCAACCTCCTCCGCATGTTTTCTCTTTTCTTCCTTTTTCTTACTGAGCTCCTTATTTGTAGTCTTCAGTTTAGAAGTTATACGGGTAGTCTCTTCCTTCAACTTTGCAAGCTCCGATTGCTGCATCATCCAAAAATTTAATACTATTAATACTTGCAACTGAACTATGTCGGTGATATAAATCACCTAAGCCACTTTCAAGCAGAGACAGAAACAGAAATTCAAACAGGGAACTGCATCACCAGAGAACAAAATAAAATAAAAATCCTGCTTAAACATAAATATAAGCATTCTTCAATCATATAAAATTTTTTCAGTTAAACATTCAAACTTGAAATGCTAGTTGGAAATCCAACCAGATTCAATCGAAAGTCACACGTTCCTGTCTGATCACTTAGCTTGTCTGACAATATGTACAGTGTTTGAGGACATTCTACCATTTTCTCAAGCACCTCAGGGTAGATCAAGTATGCATGTACGATCAACAATATAAGCACAACTGCTTCTAAACTCCCCATTTTAGCTAATAACAAATTTAAACTCTGTTACATGTGTCTCCCAAAATGAGTCAGCACACTGGAAGTACGGAAAGAAAAGATGACAGGAACTTCAAATCTATCTCATGAATAGAACATCTAAAGTATATTGCGCATAAATAGAAACTGACTTAAGAATATATATATATATATATATATATATAGAGAGAGAGAGAGAGAGAGAGAGAACAGAGTGTCAATGATTAACTGCTACATCTAAAAGCACTAAAAAGAGCATACATTACAGCTTTTACCAACCACTGTGAAGGAGAATTAAGAAAATCATGTGAGACTAGAAAATTGTTCAAAATTTCAGTCCAAATATATGAGATCTTACTTTATCAAGTCTATTCTGCTTCTCTGCGATCTTCCTCTGACACTTTTCAATCTCTTTCAAATAACCAGCTTGTTCTCGACTCTTTTTCTTTGCTTCAGCTTCATAATTTTCCAGCTCATGTACAATCTCTTTCCGGCTATTCTCTTCAACATCCAAGTCCTCATTTGCTTTTTCAATATCCTTCTCTATGTTTAACAGTTGCCAAAGATAATGTTCTTGCTTCGTACATTTCTGCATAGATATCATGGACATGCAATTAGTTGTTAACCTAAAACAAAATATACCTGATAAGTAAAAAATAAGGAGTTGAAAATAGAACAAGAGAACTTTAATCGTCCAAATTATTAAGATTAACTTAAACTTCACATATATTGAAGCCTTGTCAGAGACAAAAAGCTAAACATCTGTCTAGAAATGAAACATGCAGTACTGAAGATGTAAGAATAACAAAAAACCAGCTGCTTTTGCAAACTGATATGCTTTTCGGCCTCCTCTTTCTGCAATTTCTTCTGCTTTTTTTCAGCTGAAATGGTCTTCTTTTTCTGATGAGCAAGCACAGCCTTTTCATCAACTTCTGCCTTTTGTACTTCTAACTCTTCATACTGCCTTTTGCAGTCTTCGGAACCAGATATTTGTTCAATTAGGCCAGTCAGTTCCTTAGGATTTTTAGAAGCAATAGACTCCACGTCGCCCTGAATCAACAAAAAAAAATTTAATAATCATTTTTAGGATGATACTAAACAAACAAATTTTCAGACCAATTTCTGGACTGTCTACTACTTAGACATGGCCAAGTAAATATAGTAAATAGTTTATTATAGAGTAATGACTCAACACAAAAGAGCCTATGCACACGAGAAATCACTTTATGTGTTTATACATGAATATGGCCATCTAACTCACAAAAGTTCTCTCACTGAAAGCCACTTCTATAACAAATCTTACAAATGACTGTTACATATTCATTTCTAGCTGCCTTTCTTTCAGTTAAAAACAACACCAACTGCTTAAATGGGTGAACCACTGTTCATAGTTCATATATTTTTCATTCTCTTAGTTGCAGAAGTATCAGAATAACTTCCATTACATTCAATCACCTTCAGCAAAATTAAGTATAAGAAGTTCCCCTCGGACTCCTTTCTCCAAATATCAATTTCCCTTCCCCAATTTAAACAACTTGGTAAATTCAGTCTCTGAATCAAATTGCTTACTAAATAGTTAGCAGTAAATCAGCTAATAAGTCCACAATAATAAATTAAGAGAGAGAGAGAGAGAGAGAGAGAGAGAGAGAGATCGTCACCTGAAACACAAGGAAATTCCGAGCTTTGACCAGAATGCCAAGTGTCTTCAGCTTCCCATTATAGTCGTCCCAATTCACGAGGCGGTTCCCAATCCTGTACTCGCTGCCACCAGCCGGCGTAATCGTCCGGGTGAACTCGAGCTCCGACCCGTCCGGCATCTGGTATACAAGCATGACATGCGCCCTGCGTCCCCTCTGCTCCTTCTCACGGTCATCAAACGCGTAAATAAGGTCCCGCAGCTGAGCACCACGGAGCTGACCCGTACGAACACCGAGCACGAAGCTTATGGCGTCCATCAGGTTGGATTTCCCGGCGCCGTTGGGGCCGATTATGGCCGTGAAGTCGTAGAACGGGCCGATTATCTGGTGTCCTTTGTATGACTTGAAGTTCTCCACCTCCAGCCGGATAATTTTGCCGGAAGCCGGCACGGACGGCATTTTTTGCGGCTTTTGTGGGAATTCAAGCCCTAGGGTTCAAAAAAATTGGGGGCTTCGATAGAGATTGGTAAAAGGTATCAAGAGGAGGCGGTCGCAGAGAACCAGGAACTTGAGAGGATAAACTGGAGAGCTAGAGAGGGAAAATCATGGAGTAAGACTCGGAGGAATCTGAATTTTCACTGTGAAAAAAGGGGGAAAATGCGAAACTGTTATTCAGCTAAAGCGACGACTAGTGAGTACTAGTGAGTGACTTGTGTACCGCACACGATTCGAATCATTTTCGTTTTCTCTCACTCAGCGCGCGCGCACTCTTGAGAGAACGCTGAATCATAAAAAATGCGAATGGTCTATGTTCGGGCTAGGGGTGTAAACGAAAAAATAAACAAGCTCGAGCCTAAACTGTTTATTAATATTAATTAATCGAATTTGGGCCTTAACGAAACGAGCTATACAAAAACATATAAAATTATTTTGAGCTTTAACGAGCCTAGTGTATCGGATATCTAAAGTGAGTCGAGCACAAGCATTACCAAGTCTAGTTCACGAGTTTAGTTAACCGTTTGTTTAATAGCTTTTTAGTTATTTGTTTCTTTTAATAGCTTTAATTCAGGCCACTCAATCTGAATCTGAATCTGAAAAGATGTAATGTATTTATTAGTTAAATGAGGATAATAATGAAAAAATATGTACAAAAGATCCAAAACGACGTTTGTTTAGTTGATAGTAGTAGTTGATAAAGCTATAATGACATTTAAAAAAAATGGAGGGAGTACCATTTATCAAGAATAGTAAGTCAATCTTTGGTCCAAACTGGTCAGCATTAATTACATGCCATTTTATAATATCTTTTTAATACTAGTATTTTTTTTTTTTAAATGTTGTCCTTAAAATGATGAGTTTGTTACTTTTTATTTTTAAAAAAGTTGGGCTGCTATTTAAATTTAGTCTATTGAATATTTGTGATGGTTTGACACGATGCGCGTATCAAAAGCTGATAATGCACGAATTGCATCAATTAAATTTAGTTATTGGTTACAAAAAGCTATTTTTAAATTTGAATATAAATGTATGTCACGACTGTTAATTCAATTAAACATTAGGCAATTATATTCTCCAAGTTTAAAACCAGATATTCGCCTAATACAATTGTTTTGTTTGGCATCTTTTTTATAATAAAAAAGTTACAACTGATTTAATAATAAAAAGTTACGTGCTATTTTTTCTAACCATAAAAATATACTTTTGTATTTTAAAAATATCGGAAACTTTTTTTTTCTATATAATCGGCTAATAGCCTAATACATATGTTTTGATTAGCAGGTTTTATTTAACAAAACAAATTACGACTGATTTAAGGGTAAAAATATTTAAAAAAAAAAATATTTGTTTATTTCTTTTGAAAATATTTTTTCTAACAATCAAATTGAGCAATTTCAATTAAAAAAATAAATTTGCGGTTGATTCAATTATTTTGTTTGACAATTATTTATAATGAAAAATAATACATGGCTCTAATTTTGAAACAATCAAAAATTTTATGGTCATGATTTAAATCAGAGATTCGAAATAAGAATAATCTCCATATTTAAATTGCTTTAATTGTAAAACGTGATGTATCCAATGTTTAGATAGATTTATCACATATCATCCCCTACATTGATGATTTTTTTTATATCAAAAAACCAAATCAAAATTTTCCGGTTTTTGTTTAAATTAGAGATTCAAAATATCTTAATCTTCATGTTTACATTGTTTTAATTGTAAGATGTGATTTATACAAGATTTAGATAGATTTATCACATATCTCCCATAAATTAATGATTTTATTTTTTTCTAAATTTCAAAATATCAAATCATAAAGTTGCGGTTGATTTAATTATTAAACGATATTTTGCGATCATAAATTTGGGTTATATTCAAACTCAAAATATAAATTGCAGATATGTAGGTATGAACATATTAAATATTATGATCCCTAAAACGAAGGATGTTATTCCATTAGAAAATACAAAGTATGAACTTAAGATGTAAATTTATCATGCACGTGTGATAATACATGCTATGAAAGTCATGTTATTTACCCGTGCATCGCACGGATACGCACTAGTTTGTGTGAACAGAAAAAATGATATTTTCGATTTTATTGACTATGATTAGTTTTCCATGCTTGTTTAGAACACCCACAATGTTTTGAG